TGGGTGGTGACAGGAGACTTGGGCCCAGGTAAAGGAACCCAGTCTGCCCCTCAGTGCGGCCGGAGGGCCAGGTGTGCGGGGCACGGCTTCCCCACGGTCAGCTGTCGGGGCTCTGGCCTGTGGTCCCCTGGGTACTCTTCTCAGCCTGGGCCCCCCTTCGTGCGGGGCCCGCCCACCAGTGTGGCCCAGCAGCACCACGTGAGACTCGGGGCAGTCCCTACCTAGGGCACCCACCGAGACCAGGGCTGCTCACGGCCACGTGTCTCCCCGCCAGCACAGGACTCAGGGACACCCCCACCTTACAGAGAGGGCTGCTTCCAGAACTCACACGTGTCGCCTTGCCTCTGCTCCAGCCCAAGGTCACCCCAGGCCGGCGGGGTCTCAGCTCAGGGCCAAGTGGGGTCGACAGCGCTGACCACCTATGAGTGGGTTGGGTGTGAGTGCCCTGAGGGAGGCAGGGAGCCTGGGCTCTGACCCTGGGAGAGAAGACGAACCAGGGCAGAGTTCCCGTGTGGGTGCAGACACAGAGGGGCTATAGGTGTGGCCCGTGGAGGACAGGAGCCCGTCATCTCCGGGCACAGGCCCAGCCCATTCAGGGGGTGCCGGCTCTTGTCCCAGGGCTTCTGCCCAGAAGCTGGGTTCTTGGCAGCCCTGGCCCCTGGCTTTGGAATGGCCCGGAGGCTGTTCAGAAATGATCAAAGGGAGGCACAGGGTCAGGTCAGCACCCTAAATGGGACCAGCATGGGCACTGCCACCCACCTTGCGAGGGCAGGGGGGTGGGTACCAGGTCCAGGGGTCCTGGTGATGTCAGGGCACCGGGCTTCCTGGCCCTGGCTGGACTGCAGGTGGCCGCACGTGCCCTGGTGGGACTGGGCTCCCCTTCTGAGGCCGGGATCTCAAAACTGCTGGTGAAAACAGGTGTGGCCGTCCTGTGGGAAGGGCTGAGTGGCTGCGGGGAGGGCCCGGGACACCACAGGGCGGAGCCTGCCTCTTCTTCCCTCGGCACTTTTGCCCTGCAGCCCTGATGGAGGCCAGGGTTGTGAGATCGGCGTGTGCCGCCCTTTGTCCCCCCTCCCCCGTGACCCAGGAGGGCGGGAGCACAGGCTGG